TTACTTGGTTAACTTATTTCGATCAAGGTTATAAGCAAGGAAAGGCAGGCGCTCATACCTCCCTGAAGAGAATAGGCAGGACAAAATCTTAAGCGACCAAATTTCAGGTTTATCACCTCGCAGGACGAAATATACGAATACCAATTAGTTTACTTGATGATGGCTTCTCTTCATCTTCATTGGTTGGTTATATATATGAAACATTTTTGTATTTAAAAAATAAATCTCCTAATTAAAAATCAGTAATAAACAAATGAATATTTGTAGTTTGACCTTTCCCGATCGTCCAGGTCTGTTCTCAGCTGCTTGGCCTCTCCTTGCTTATATCCAGATGAAAAAACTCCCTGAACGGCCTAAATAGCAAGCAAGCCTAAATAGGATACCAACATGATCGGAAAAGACAAAATTACAGGTCAATCATCTCGCAGGTTCTAAGAGAAGTTCTCTTAATACCCCTAGAGTATCAATCAAGGATATAAGCAGGGAGAGATAGGTGAGAAACCTAAACGCCTCTCAGAGACCAAAACAGTGCGGAAAGACTAACAGCAGATTGGAACCGACTATAACCGACAGGTTCATTGTTCCTTAGGTAGGATATAAGCAGACAAGATGGGCATAAAACGCGTTTTATAGACTGAAGCAAGCGGAAGGACACACCAAAATGGTCAGTTAAAGATCAAATTAAGGAAGTTAGGGGCGTCCGTGGCCTCATCAAAGGTGTTGAGACGTCGATTCATGACTGTAAGGGTTCCGAGTTCGATTCTCAGAGGTTCTGAATTCGAAACTGGCATACTTACAATCGTGCTTTTTTTTCAAAAACCTCGGCACCCCAGGGTTACATGGGGGAAGAAAGGAAGAAATTACAAGTTCATCACCCCTTAGGTATCAAGACTATAAGCAGGGAGAGGCAGGTCCACAGAACACATTTTCGAATAGATGATTTTAAATGAATTTGATTTGTTCGTCGATACATTGTATTTTAATTACGCAGGTACAAATCTGTCTTAGAAGTATCTTGTAGTTAGGTTTGTGACTGAGTTATAAATTAGATCTTTCACCAAGTAAACTAAGCGGTATTGCAGGTTTTCATCCTGTGGTATGTACGAGTGCCTGAATCTCCCTGCTTATATCCCTGGCACCTAAGAAGTAACGGGGGATTTCTTTTTGGACTGTACGATGTGTTTTTGTTTATATACCAATAGTTAGCAATAGTTTTTACAATTAATTAAGGTTTTAGTTGAGATAAAAAGTCAATGGCACGAGCGGGATTCGAACCCACGATCTTCGGCTTGATACGCCGCTGCTCTACCACTTGAGCTATCGTGACCTCGATCCACTCGGACACCAACCTCCCATCTCAACCACACCTTTTGAATTTTCCTTCCTTTTTGCCATTTTTCAAATGTCGTGTAATCAATTTGATTCTCGGCGACAAATGAAATGGCCACGGAGAGCTTTAGTGAAGTATAAATCATTTTAAACTTATTAAATTCACTAGTTTCGTGGTCCGCTTGACCAATTAATATCTTACAATTAATTAAGGTTTTCAGTTGAGATAAAAAAGTCAATGGCACGAGCGGGAGGTTGAGATGGGAGGTTGGTGTCCGAGTGGATCGAGGTCACGATAGCTCAGGTGGTAGAGCAGCGGCGTATCTAGCCGAAGGTCGTGGGTTCGAATCCCTCTCGTGCCATTAACTTTTTTTCATCTCAACTAAAAACCTTAATTAATTGTCTTATAATTATTAATAATAATTCCAACATATTCATTGGATTGCGAATAGCGAGTAGAGTTGACCAATGATCGATGGAAGAACGTTCAATGACTAATCCGTTTTTACTGCCAAATCCATGCCGTCCGTACTTCTTGCAGTTTCGGAATAGCGTCTCTCTCGTATTCATCCTACGGTCCAAAAATCGATTTTGACTTGTCGATGAATCATGATGGATTAGGTCGTCGTCGACCCCTTGTATAGGGTGCAGTCGCCGAGAATCGCATCCTGGTTACACGATATTTGCAAATACGACAAAAAGAGGAACAATTAAAAAGGTTGTGATGGGGAGGTGGTGTCCGACCACTCGACTGGATCGAAGTCATGGTAGCTCAAGTGGTTAGAGCAGCGGCGTTTTGTGCCAAAGGTCGAGGGAATCCAAATCGTGTCACTAGCTTTTTCATCTCAACCAAGACCTCAGATAAAAAGTGTAATTAATTAAAGTTTAACCGTAAAGTTCTCTGACCCTTGGAACGTAAAATTTCAGGGTTGTTTGACATCGCATCGTCCTGTACAGGCGGAATTACATTTCATTGATCCGAACTTTTTATTTAGCTAATTGCGCTTTTACTCAGATGAAGGTAATCGTCAGTCAGATGAATAGACATATGAGGTAGCATGTCCAAGACGTTATCTCTAATTTTCGCTTAGTCACCAAACAAATAAGAGCCGTTGAGTTGAGAATTTCATTATTAGGAAGGAGCCAGTTTTAGAGTACAGTTATGTATTCTTGTTTGAACTGTTGGCCTTTCAGGACATAAAAGATCATGAAATGACAAATAAAGACATTAAATTTGAAAGCGGTAAAAAGATTCCATTCTGAAAAAATATCACTAACACAAAAAAGTATTTGCTGTTATGCGTTTTACAAGGAATGCACATTATTTTCTGATAATACAAATAAATACCAATTATTTTACTAATCAAATAATCACTATGAAAAAAAAGTTTAATTTAACCTTAAAACATATTTTAAATATAATATAGCGAATACAGGGAAAACAGAACTGAGAAAACACAACACTTTTTTAACAGTAAAACTGATATTTTCAGTTCATTTTTGATTTTTTTAAATTGTATATGAAAATCTGACAAAAACCCTTTATCTAGGCAAAAGCACGATTCAATAAGTAATAAAATAATAATAAAAATAATGAAATATTATGACGTTTCCTTTTGAGGTTTGCGTGGTGATAGTCTGCAGTTTGGTCGTTTCTGATCGTTTTGGCCAGCCTATTTGTCGGACGAGACTTCTCGCCACCTTCAGTGAGTCGCAGGTATGTAAGCAGGCGATCGTACCCAATTTGAAGAGACAGGACAAAATCTGAAGCGACTAAACTTCAGGTTTTTCACCTCGCAGACAACAGGAAGAAATCTCCCAATACGACTTAGTTACTTGGTGATGGCTTCTCACCATCTTCTGTGGTGAGTTATGAATCCAAATAAATTATATATGTAAAAATAAATTTACTCCTTATCACAAGTACGAAATAAACAAATAAATAGTTTGTAGTTTGGTCTTTTCCGATCTACCAGGTCTGCTGTCTGCTGCTTTGCCTCTCTCTTGCTTATAACACTGATGGTGAAAATTGAAAATAGCAAAGTACCGAAACGCCTCAGACAAACCAAACTAGAGAGAATACCTGACCAAAATAATCGGAAAAACCAAACGATAAGTTTAATCCCCGCAGATGTCGAGAGAAAATTTAGCAAGTTTTAATATTGGTAATACATATCTTTGGATCAAGGGTATAAGCAGGGAGAGGTAGGCGCTCATAGCCCCGCTGCAGAGCCTAGTCTGCAGCGACATCCCAAGAACTCAAAAAGCTTAATTTTCAGGTTTATTACCTCATAGGCAAAGGACGAAAACTTCCAATACGATTTAGTTTATTTTGGGCTAGTTTTCTCACCTTCTTCTGTGGTGGGGCATTAACGCGAACAAATTATGTATCAATGTATGTAACAAACAAATCCAGGTCTGCTACGACGTTTCCTTTTGAGATTTGGGTGGTGATGAACCTGAAGATTGGTAGTTTTTGATTATTTTGGCAAGTCTATCCCTACGGTTTTGTGTTTTGGCAGATGGCGAGTGATGTTAAAGTTATAAGCAGGGTGAGGCAGACGAAAGGCGGACAAACCCCGAGAATAACCGAGAAATAATAATAAATTATTTCCTTGCATTAATTACTGCTAAGCACTTTTTTAAAATTTGAACTATCAAAAAACATGTAAAGTTGCATGTCAGATAGAGAATAACCTAATCCAGTAAAATTTAATTAATGTACCGAATTAAATTTTAATTAACTCAATGTAAACTCAACATAGTTGAATGACTCGGAAATGGTAAAACTCAGAAAAACATGATACTAAATATATCAACAAATCAAGGTAAGCAACTAAAAAAAATGCATATTAAAAATATTGAAAAAATAATCCTGTTTTAAATTTGTTTCTATAATTATGTTTTGTATAAAAAAAATCTATAAATGGCATTAGCACTTTTTTAAAAACAAAAATGCAACACAACATCCTGCAAGGAAGAACGATAAAACGAACGATAAAATCGACTTGTTCTTGAGAAATATATTTCGTGCTGTACACTTTTTTAAAAATAAAAAAATGATGAATCATTTTATAAACAAACTAATTATTAAATACTTCGTTCAAAGGTATTGAATGCCTCTATCGAATACGATTAGTTTTATTAAATGCCTAATAACAAGTTCATTGTTTCGAAAATAACGGTTTACTTCTTTCAACATTACATGTTGTGTCTATTTGTAATGCTAAAGTGCCAGTTGAAAGTTATTATATAGAGAGATTGCAAACGTGCAATGCTAAAATTTTCTGTGGCCCGCAAGTCGGATGTGTTTCTGCAGTTTGGCCGATTGGTCCGCTGATTCTCGCTGTGCGAGCGAAAAGTACAAAGCCAGTACTTTGATTTATGACATTTTGAATATATAATCACTGTAAGTGGAGAAATACCGAAAAATCACTTCACGAAATTTTTTCACACGTGGCTAAAGACGATCAGACTGTGTCACTTTCTGCTAGGCTTCGCACTTATTTGACAATTTGATTTTGTTAATCTCACACAATATACAAAATATCATCTTGAACGTTTAAAATTTATATAGAGCCAGAAGAGATTAATCGCGTTACGCTTAATCGTTAAATATTTCGAAATTGAAATTTCAGCTACAATCGTTAAATGTACTAAAGGTAATTTACCGGCAGTGTAGCTTAGATCTGAGAACTCGATGTCCACCGTGGGTCTCATTGCGTTTGACTGGCTCCTAGGTGAATGCTTCGCTTGTGAGAGCTCGGCTCCCCACCTTCCCGTGTTGATGTTCTGTCATGTCTCCCTCCTCGTTTTGGCTTATTTGGAGCAGTGTAAATCAGCAGAGATGCGTTTTATCGCAACGCCATGTGTCGTAACTCACGATGGCCAAAACGCCGATCGACCCACTTTTCATACAAAAGAGGGTTTAAGCACTTTTCAAGGGGATCTTTTAAGCTATTTTCTTAGTTTTAGTAAAAAAGCAAAGTTTCTGACCTTTTAAGCATTAATATAAAGGTTTACCAAGTTTTGGTTGTCTAGGCGACGGTTTCAATTTTGTAGCTAGTGGTACAAAGAAGACTAGCGACTTCTTGACATTCATTTTTTTTATTCAAAACACCCCATCACTGTTCAAAAAATAATAAAATATCTCCTATTCAGTTAGGCCCAACATAGCACAGTATGAATGAATGAAAAAAGTACTTTATTAGATAAACAAAAGAAAAATTGCACATAACGGCAATGGTTACCAACCGTCTGCCGGAGTCGGAGTATAAATTTTTAACAAACAAACATCACATTTTTTCTCAAGGAATAAACAAAAGACAGAAAAAAATGATATAAGAAAACTAAAATAACAACATATCTACATATTTTTACATACACTTATGCACATAGAAATAACCAGGGTGTCTCTGATATATACAATAAACTCATTAGATTTCGTGGTCCGATAGACCAAATAACATCTTTCAATTAATTAATCTTTATCTAAGGTATTGGTTGAGATAAAAAAGTCAGTGTCACGAGCGGGATTCGAACCCATGACCTTCATTAACCTAATGGATTCATTTTTTATTCAAAACACCCCATAGCACAGTATGGACCAGAGAGAAAAAAATGGCAGATAACTATTAAAAAAAAAAATCTGCGGGATTCGGACCATAAATTTTTAATAAACACACATTTCTTCTCATGGAATAAACAAAAGAGAGAAAAAAAACTATATAAATAAACTAAAATAACAACATATCTATGTATATTTGAACATACAAATAACCAGGGTGTCCCTGATATATACAATAAACATTTAATAATTGAAATAATTGATTAGAGCCCTTGATTATCTGACGACGCTAGATGACACCAAATTTTGCATTATAACAGACTGCAAAAGTGTCATCGCCCAAATAGAAAACTTACACCCAAACGCCAATTGCGATTATTTAATAACGGAAGTAATAGACAAGGCGTTTAACTTCAAATCGCAAAATAAAACTGTAGTCTTTTGCTGGAGTAGGGGGCATTGCGGTATAAAGACTGGACTTGTTAGCTAAACGAGCAACAAAGTACGGTGATTTTATTGACATCAAATTGCCAAAGTCTGACACCAAACGTCCCTGATTAATAAATGGATAAAAGCCTGGAGCATTTGGTACAACAGTGGTTCAGCGGGGTCATTTTATCGATCATTGTTCCCGGAAATAAATATCGCGCCATGGTTTTCGACAGAGTACGGAAACAAAAAATTTTTTTCTGCCTCAACACGCTTAAGAACAAATCACGGCATTTGTGGATCTTACCTGCATCGAATTGGTCTTAGGCCGTCGCCAAATTGCTCCATATGTGATGAAGCAGAGAAGCCATTGTCTTTTTCTGTCCTGAATATGAGACAGAAAGAGAGAATCTGTTAAGACGGATCTTCCTGCGGAGGGAGGTGATTAAGCCGTTCAGCTATGAAACCTTGTTGGCAACAAGTATTGGTGTTATATACAAACTTATTTTTGACTTCCTGCAAGAAAGCGGAATAGATATACAGACTATTCAAACAATAATCAATCTCCGGGAGGCCTGTCCGCGCGGCCATCGGGTGGAGGAGAGGAGTGCTCAGGGCGCCTTTTACCCCGGGTTGCGGGGAGGATGTGGACTTTTCCACAGCGCTGTAAAGCGATGTAAGTGGTTTTTATCTATACTCTCCCAATGCACCTTTAAGAGAGGGCGGAGTTCCCAATTGTAAAAAAAAAAAATCTGGGTGGGCGCTCTTGGTCTCTTCCAGGGGGTGGCTTTAGTCGGCTCGCGCGGGTCGGGTACCCACCGGTGTCGCTGGCAACATGGGACATTGGCCGTATGCAAAAAAAATTGAAATAAACAACTAGTATTTTCCTGTAGCTCCAGACTTTACTACCACTGCAAACTTTACTAAAGGACTACTACTAAGGACTCGGGGTTATTTAATAGTGCTCTCTTGTCAACGTGAGGCAAGCCTTGCTCGGAATTCCACTAAAACTGGACATTATGCTAGAAAATTAAAACAATCTTCTCAAGCCTGCCTGTTGCAGAGAGAACACTTATCGGAACTATTGACTCTTGTGGGATTATAATTAAGATAACGTAACTCGCACCTAACTTTGAAAAACCAGCGAGCTAGCGCGGAAAGGATGGGATTTTAGAAATTTGCGCTATGTTCGAGAAATGTTGGTTGATATTAAGGTCCTTATACAGCAAAAACCTAGAGGAATTTTGAGTATGAAGGAGACATTTCATTGTATGAGAGGTGCGGATATGGTTAATCAATTTTGAGTGTAAAAGTGGCCACTCTTTAAAATTATCCAGGGGAAAATTGCCATTCAGCTGAAATTGTTGAGCCAAGGTATTCCAGGAAGAGAACCATGATATTTTGACCTTATTATTTCCAGCGCAGTATTCTTGGGAATGTAGTAGTTAGGATTTAGGACCCTGCAGACATAGGATGTCTGTAAATTTAATGTAAATTGAAACAAAATTTCTACTGTCTGGGGTAGATCATGTCGTTAGGTGTGAAAGAAGGGAGGTGATAAATTTTACGGATAAAATAGCGATTTAGGGATTCATTTATTTCATAGCGCTGGAAACCCCAGCCTGGGAAGCGTAGGACACAATCGGCAAACCGAGTACAGTATGGTTAATTACCTATAAGGTCAATAGTCTCCAAACCTGTTCCGAAACGGGCGAAACAAATATTTCCTGAGGGAAGCGGAGAAAGGTCAAAACTTTCCGATAAATGCTACTGACATTCAACTTCCGTCATGTGCAATCTCAAGTCAATCGTTTTTCATTAATTTTCCACCATTAATCAGAAAACATTCGCTTTTAGATTTATGCATACTCTCCATAGTATACGCCAACATCATCAACCACATACTGACAAAACTCGTGGGGGTTCACTCACCGTCACTGAGTACATTTAATCACTGTAAGCGTCGAATGGAAATGGTGTATCGAAAGCAGAAAGCGTACGAAATCATAGAATGCGAAGATCACGCCTTCTTTGCCCTAATTAATGGTGTACATCTGCCGGGGATGACGCACGATGAGATGACACGGACCACATACATAAACCTCTCCCGTTCTTATCTGACCTCCTGCCTTTCCATAAAAAGACACGGTTAAGGTATCCTTTGAGGGATCGAACTAAGGGAGGTAAACCACCTGTTCATCCCATGGAGAGTAGCAAATATAGCTAGAGCGGGTGGACCTTCGACTGGGGTGTGGGCGCAACACGAAGGTGAGCCTACGAACCATCGGAACCTTTCGCCTCTAAAAAAAGGGGAAGCTTTGAAGCCAGTCATGGTCGATAGCCTATTCCCTTAAAGAATAATGTAGGCCATCACGATCGGAGGATCAAGAGTAATGACCCGTGGTATGGGGCACAACCTGAAAAGGTAAGTAATTCACGGGCAACCCCTTCTCAATTATTCTATGTTGACTCCTGAATACTCCCCCTCATTCCAGGCGCAAAATAATGGTGTAACCCAGAGAACATGGCAAACTCTCTAAAGTAGCTGTCTTCGTACACTAGCGAAAGACTCGTCAGCGCGCGAACGGCCAGTGCGCGATAGTCTCATAGGTGGATCCGTGAACCAGATCCTGTATGAGCATGACCGTCTGAACTGCGGGTGCAAGTAATTCCCAAACCATAGCTTACTATTGGGTTTGATTCGCAGCGATTGGTTGGCGAGACTAATAGAGGGTACTTAGGGTGTGATACGATCGTTTAGGTGGTGCTATTTATCACAAACCTTTACTGAACGGCTGGGTTTACCTAGGTGTGTTTAGTAATATATTTAAAACGAAGAGCCCCTACCTACACTCGGGAGTGATGGAACGGTCCATCGTTTGGTGCACGCTGGGAAGTTCGGTCTGAAATCATTTCAGTCCATTGAACTTCTCGTTCTGGCGCTAGTCAGGCAAATGGGGAAGAAATTCGTCTTGATCCTTAGTGATTGGGATGTATTTCAATAGGTGACATGTTCACACCAACCTCTCAATCCATCCTAACCCTACTGCTTGAGGCTTCTCTGCACATTCCGCACCCGTCGCCTTAATTTCGAGACCTCAATGAACTTTAATCCTGCACTGAGCGCCAGCATTGGTTGACTTCTCATGGCACCTGTCCTCAGGATGTAGCGCTGGCATTAGTTTTAGTGATGTGACTGTGAAACATATTGTGATCCAATTAGTTCTATGTGCTAATATGTATAGACTAGTTATTCAGACATGAGAGATGAGATGCGGTCGGGTGTGATGTAGGTTTCAGAAAAACATTTCCTTTATCGTGCCAACGTTTCGATCTTTTATTGAGATCATCTTCAGGGCTCAAAGTGTTTGTCTTCTGTGTAATTGTGCTATCCTTGCGTGTCGTGTTGATAGTGCCCGTGTATAGACTAGGTTTAAATTAAAAAAAAATTGTATGAGATTGCTTTAATTTTCTTAATCGTAAGAGAAATTCTCGAATCTATTCGAACCTACTTTTAAATGATAGGGTTTTTCTTTTTTTCATTCTTCAGAGTAAAAAATTATATAATGCTTTACTGAGGATTTAATAAATTTTTAATTAGGAAGTCCAGTTGTGACATAAATCAAATTAGTTTTCCATTTAATACTGGTTTAAAGACACTACCTACTAAGACACGGAAAATTAGATTGAAAGCCACAACACAGTGAAGCTGCTGAGGATGGGCCGATGAGCCTGAAACAAAATAAAGAAATATTTAAGCTACGGAACACTTGGGTT